CTTTGAGAAAGACTGAGTAAGAGAAGAAATAAAAATTGAAATTCAAAACTTCTTTGAATCAAACGAGAATGGAAACAAAACATACCAAAATTTTTAGGACACAACAAAAGCAATGATCAGAGGCCAATTTATAGCAATAAATGCACACATCAAAAAAGAAGAGCCAAAATTAACACTTTAAATCAACATCTCAAATAATTAGAAAAAGAACAGCAATAAAAGCCTAGTCACCAGAAAAAAGGGAAATAATAAAGATTCAAACATAAATCAATGAAGCAGAAAATAGAAAGACAATAGAAAAATCAACAAGACCAGAAGTTGGTTTTTGGAAAACATTAATAAAATTGACAAACCACTGACAAATTTAACAAAGGAAAAGAGGGAGAGAATGCAAATAAAATGAATAAGAAACAAAATGGGTGACATCACAACAGAACCAACTGAAATAAAAAGGATAATATCAAGATACTATGAAGAATTGTACTCCAACAAATTTGAAAATCTGGAAGAAATGGACAGATTTCTAGAAACACATCACTTACCGAAACTAACACAGACTGTGGTGGAAAAGTTGAACAGATCCATAACAAAAGAAGAAATCGAACTGGTCGTCAAAAAATTACTAACTAAAAAAAGTCCTGGCCCAGACGGTTGCACCAGAAAATTCTACCAAACATTCAGAGAAGTACTGACACCAGTCCTACTCAACCTATTCCAAAACATAGAAAGAGATGGAATCCTCCCTAACTCATTTTATGAAGCAAGCATAACCTTGATACTAAAACCAGACAAAGACATCACTCAAAAGGAAAACTACAGACCAATATCCCTCATGAATACAGATGCAAAAATCTACAACAAAATACTACCCAATAGACTCCAACAACATATCAAGAAAATCATTCATTATGACCAAGTTGGTTTCATATCAGGTATGCAAGGATGGTTCAACATTTGAAAAACAAACAACACCATCCATCACATAAATAAAACAAAGAAAAAGAGCCACATGATCATATCAATTGATGCAGAAAAGACATTTGATAAAATACAATACCCATTCCTGATCAAAACTCTCAGTAAAACAGGAATAGAAGGGACATTCCTCAACATAATAAAGGGAATCTATGCAAAACCAACAGCCAAGATTATTCTCAATGGAAAGAGATTGAAACCATTCCCCTTGTTAACAGAAACCAGACAAGGATGCCCTCTATCACCACTTGTATTCAACATTGTACTGGAAGTCCTAGCCAGGGACATAAGGCAAGAAAGGGAAATCAAAGGCATCCAAATTAGTAAGGAAGTCAAACTATCCCTATTTGTTGATGATATATCCTATACTTAAAAAACCCAAGGGACTCAGTCAAAAATCTACTGGAACTAATTGAGAGACTTAGCATCATTCCAGAATACAAGATAAAATCCAAAAATCAGTTGGATTATCCTACACCAGCAAAGAGATTGTTGAAAAAGAAATAAGGAAATCAATACCACTTACAATAGCTACCAAAAATAAAATGTTTGGGAATAAATCTCACCAGGGATGCAAAAGACCTGTACAAAGAAAACTATAAAAAACTACTTCAAGAAACCATAAGAGATCTACAGAAATGGAAGAACATCCCATGTTCATGGATAGGAAGATTGAACATTGTGCCAATGTCAATTCTACTCAAAGCAATCTATACATTCAATGCAATTCCAATCCAGATCTCATCAACATTTTTTAAGGATATGGGAAAACCAGTCACTAATTTTATATGGAAAGGAAAGAGACCTCAGATAAGCAAAACACTACTGAAGAAGAACAAAGTAAGAGGTCTCGCACTGCCAGATCTCAAAAACTACTATATAGACACAGTAGTCAAAACTGCCTGGTATTGGTACAATGACAGACACACAGACTAATGGAATAGAATTGAGAACCCAGAAACCATTGATCCATGGTCAGCTGATTTTTGACAAAAGGTCAAAATCATTAAATGGGGAAGAGAATGTTTGTTTAATAAATGGTACTGACAAAACTGAATATCCATTTGAAGAAAAATGAAACAAGATCCATACCTCACACCACACACAAAAACTAACTCCAGATGAGTCAAAGACTTAAATGTGAAACCTAAAATTATAAAGTTCCTCAAGGAAAAACTAGAAGCTCTGGTAGCATAGTGCCTAAGGCATTTGACTATTAACCAGAAGACTGGAGGTTCAAACCCACCAGCCACTCCGCAGAAGGAAGTTTGGTCAATCTACTTCTGTAGTGATACAGCTTTGGAAACCCAAGGGGGAGGGGTGGTCACTATGAGTCAGGTCTGACTCCACGGCACACAACAACAAAAATATATGGCATAAATAGACTATCAAGCATAACGCAAAATGCACAAACAGCAGATGAAAAACTAGATGAATGGGACCTTCTAAAAATTAAATTTTTATGTGCTTCCAAACACTTCTCCAAAAGAGTCAAAAGAGAACCCACAGATTGGGGAAAAAATACTTGGCAAAGACATATCTGAAAAGGGACTTATGTCCAAAATTTACAGAAAACTCCAACCCCTCAATAACAAAAAGACAAATAATCCAATTAAAAAATGGACAGAAGACATGAATAGACACTTCACCAAGGAGAATATTCAGGCAGCCAACAAACATATGAAGAAATGCTCATGATCATTAGCCATTAGAGAGATGCAAATCAAAACAACTATGAGATACCATCTTGCCCCAGCACTAGCAGCAAAGTTCAACAAGACAGAAAATAACAAATGCTGACAAGGATGCAGAGAGATTGGGACTCTCATATACTGCTGGTGAGACTGTCAAATGGTACAACTACTGTGGAAAGCAGTATGGCGATTCCTTAAAGTGTTGGAATTAGAAATACCTTTTGACCCAGCCATTCCTTTACTAGGTATATATCTTAAAGAAGTGAGACCCATGACAAGAACAGACATATGCACACCCATGTTCAATACAGCAGTATTTATAATAGCCAAAGATGGAAACAACCTAGGTGTCCATCAACTGAGGAATGGATAACCAAACTGTGGTACATAACACACACTGGAATACTATGTAACCCTAAAGAATAATGTAGAATCTGCAAAACACCACAAAACATGGATGAACTTGGAGAACATTATGCTGAGTGAAATAAGTCAATCACAGAAGATAAGTATTGTATTAGTCTGTTACTGTAAAAGTCAAGGAAAGGTTTATATATGGAAGGAAATTTTCTTTGTTGGTTACCAGGGGTGGGAGGGGAGGATAGAGAACACTGTTAGATAGGAAAAGACAAGTATTGGTTTGGGTGAAGAGAAGGGCAATGTACCAAATGTGAGTGATCAACATGGTGGCATTGAGGAGGAGGAAGACATAGAGAGGTACATGGGAGGCACAGACAACAAAAATGAACCCTTTTGCACATACAATACTGTGCTGTCACTGAAGGCAAACATGGGTATATGGGTGGATAGATGGGTGGACAGGCTGAACTGTTAGGTATGTCTATGTAGGGGGGAGTGTGCCCAAGACCATGTATAGGGTTGGCAAACAATGTTTCTACAAGTGTATTGGTATGTTCTGTAAGAATTCCCAGGTGTATAGTAGACCTGACAAGGGACAAGGTTGTAGTCACTTCTTGGTCACAGTCAGCTACCCAGAGGGAGTGAGTAGTTGAACCTGTGGGCTCTCGATCATTGTCTCAGGGGACATCAAACTCAATTGGCATAACATATTACACAAAACATTGTTCTACCTCCTACGTTGGTGAGTTGCGACTGGGATCTTAAAAGCTTGCAAGCAGCCATGTAGATGCAATGATGGATCTCTCCTAATTCAAAGCAGAGAAGAATGAAGAAAACCAAAGATTCATGGAAACAATTTGTCCTAGCAACTGGTACTCCATGCTATCCACAGCCTATACAACTATGAGACCAGAAGAACTAGATGGTGCCAGCTACCATTGTCAACCACTCAGAGTCATATCTATGTAGGAGATCCTGGATAGAGAGGGAGAACAATGTGGTACAAAACTCAAAATCATTTGGAAAAAAAAAAAGGAGGAGGGCTACCAGGTTTGCTGGTCTGATAGAGTCTGGTTGAACCACTGAGATCATGGCCCCTAGCTGCCCTTCAGGTCTGGAACTGAACCCACACCTGAGGCTTCCAGACAAACAAAAGACAGACATATGAGTTGAACATTTACCTGAGGTAGATACACTTCTTGGAGAGAACAAACATGGGAGAAAGAAGGGCTGGTTATGCACAGGGAGATAGCTCAGGGGGCAGAAGTCCATGGAGGGATGGACACAGGGAAGAGGTAACTATTGAGAGGAAGTGGGAGTGGAGCTGTTGCATTGGGATAAATTGTAGTGAATGTCATGAGACAAAGTGTATGTGAACTGCTGCATGGAAAGTGAATTCGCTCTGTAAACTTTCACCCAAATCACAATTTTAGAAAAAAAGAAGAAGAAAGAAAATAATAATAATGTATTAAGAATGCATGGAAGAGTGAGCAGAAACTTTCCCAGTAGGTGGATGCAGAATGTGTAATGAAGAATTTGAGTAGGGTATCTCCTTTCAGCAGGAACAGCAATGACCAGTCCATTTTGCCCCTGAAATTGTAGGGCTTATTGATTTATGCCACTACATTGCTTCTCTGCAAGCCACTATCATGAGGAAAACAGCACAAAAGACCTATGTTGTTGTTGTTGTTGTTGTTTGCCATCGAGTCGGCCCCGACTCCTAGTGACCCCTCCTTGGGTTTCCGAGGCAGTTATCACTACAGAAGTAGGATTGCCCAACCTTCCTTCCGAGAAGTGGCTGGTGGGTTTGAACCGCCAGCCTCCTGGTTAGCAGTCAAGTACCTTGGCACTATGCTACCGGAGCTCCTCAAAAGACCTATAGGATTTAAAAATATCATGCCCCGTGGTAATAATGTACTTCAGAAAATAGAGGTGGTTCTTCAGCTTCTGAAGAAGCAGGCTAAGACATACCTTTTGACTGAGAAATGATTAGTTCTATGTTGTCAGAATTCTGAATCATTCTAGCAGCCATGTTGAATGTGAAGCCCTCCAGACTGATGTGATTCAAAGCAAGTATCTGCCCTCCTAAAAAAACAAACCATCTCCGTAACTTCATCAAGGAAATAAGAAAGAGCAGTTCTTCAAAGCAGCATCTCTGATAATTTACAAAGACATACCTGGTTTGATCTTGTTAGTTTTTTCTGCTGGCCCCCCTGGTATAATAGAGGATATAAAGATGCCAGTGTCAACTTTGCCTGCATCATCTTCTCCATTAATGACAAAACCTGTAATCCAAGATAATATTTAATGATAAAATGATACTTATTGATTTCGTAGCTCAAAGAGAAAGGTTAGCATATTTGCTTGAAGTCACAACTATCAAGAGGTATAGCTGTTATTTGCACACAGGTCCTGCCATTCTCAAGTAGCTCCTTCTCCTCTGCCATGATACACGGAGAAAACAAGATGAGCAGTCAATCCCCATTAGTCAGCACAGCTAAGCTAGGAACACAGCTGCCCGGTGTGCATTGAATTGTGCTCCAGTATATAATCAGAGCTGGGAACAAGCTGATTTTTAATCAGGAACCCTGTCTCAGTATCCTGTTTCTTGTGTGCTTTTGAGGGTTGTAAAATATTCTGAATAGTAAGAGGTGAAGAAGATTAACTATTTCTCCCCATCATTAAGGATCTAAATATACTAGAGAAAGCTAGTAAGAAGTCTTCTTCTGTCTTGGACTTAAATTCAAAGATTTATCAGGCCTAAAAGGAAAACTTGGACCGCAAATCTCCATTGTTCTTTGTTGTTGTTGTTAAGTGCTGTCGAGTCGTTTCCGACTCATAGCGACCCCATGCACAGCAGAACGAAACACTGCCCGATCCCGCACCAGCCCCACAATCCCTGCTATACTCGAGCCCATCATCGCAGCCACTGTATCAATCCATCTCGTTGAAGGCCTCCCCCTCTTTCGCCATTGTTCTTTAGAGACATTTAAAAGGAAGAAAAAGCAGAAGTGACTGCTGAAAAAGGAAGATTGAGACAGAAGAGACAGGTAAAGGAAGTAGAAAAGTCAAAATGGAAAGGGGCAACCCTCCCTGCCCAGTAGCAGAGACCAGGTCTCACCTGGGAAAACACCTTACCAAAACCAAGACATGAGTCACGTCTCAGTGTCACACACACAAGTTCGCTATCTGGATCAACTGCAAAAGTCTTTATTCTGTTATTTTGTGATCCTAGAAGTGGAAACAAAGAACCAAATTGTGTTTTCCTTCAAATTATTAGGGACCAAATACAAAAGGGAAAGGAGCTTTGGTGGCATAGTGGATAAGACCTTTGGCTGCTAACCAGAAAGTCAGCAGTTCAAACCCACAAGCTACTCTGCAGAAAGAATATGGGACAATCTACTTCCATAAAGATTTATAGCCTTGGAAACCCAATAGGGCTTGCTATGATAGAAATCAACTCGATGGCAGTGAGTTTATTTCATACAAAAGGGGAGTCCCTGGGAGAGACAAATGATTACATGATCAGCTACTAACTGAATGGTTGGTGGTTATGAGGAGCAAATCCTTCCAATAAGCCAGATGGTGATGGTTTTCTCAGTTCCTCTCCCTGCTGGCATCTTTAAGCCTCAGAACAAACTACCACCACCCCACCACCACCCCCACTGACCCTTGATGTGTGTTAGCAAGGTAAAAAAGATAAATTCTGAGCTAGTTACCCCACTCCTCAGGAAGTCTCAGGGGCATGATACAGTAGGATGTCTGTTGGCAGAGTTAAAAAGATACAATTAGTCACTTAGGTTGGGAGTATAAAATAGCTGGAATAGGAAGTTTTCTTACTCAGCTATGGTGGAGCTGGGACACACATAGCAGAAGTTTAGAGTGTACCTTAGTGGACCTATGACCAGGGGAAACCAGCAGACAGGGTCCTATTTAAACCCTCACCCATGACACAAAATGGGGATGTGCAAGGAAGAATCATCATTGTGGCCCAAACAGCTTTTGAAGGTGTCCTAATTGTGATAGAACTTTTCTTGTTGTATGCTGTCTGATTCTTATATGTAATAAGCTATTTTTCATGTGTTACCATATATTGAAGCTCAGATCAAGACATGATGTTTACAGAGCTATCATTATTGATGTCCTTTTGTTAATGATGTCCTGATTATCCACAAATTGGTCATAAACTGTGAGCACCATGGAGATTTGAAGTATTATTTTACAGTGGTTCAAACCTATCCAGATGTGCCTCCAAAGAAAGGCCTGGCAATCAGCTTTTGAAAAGTCACAGTCCTGAAACCTCTTTAGAGTACAGTTCTACTCTGACATACATGGGATTGCCATTAAGTCAGAATCAACTCAATAGCAAAAGATACTTGCTTTTTGAGTATTTGTGTTTGTCTTTAAATACAAAAGAAGTAAATTGTATTGAATGACAAAAACAAATAAACAAACCTGAAAGCAAAATCAGTTCAAATGTAACATCCCAACAATACTCAGACTAGTTCATTGAACACATAGTTTTGAAGCACTCATTGGGTCAGTGTTGGTTAAGTTTGCACTAAAAGAGCAGAGGTGAGGTATGGTGGGAAGTGGTGGTTGCTTGGAACAGGTTGTTTTCTGATAATTTACTATTGTTGTTTTTTTCTGCATTGGTCTTGAGACAATGGCCAGAGATGCACCTGCTTGACAGTAAAAACAAAACAGGGGGAGCTCAAGGATGCAACAGCAGAGGCTTCCCTTCTCCAGCTTCTGATTACCAAGCTGGAGTCCTGAGGGTTAGATATGCCAATGCAAACAGTACACATAGGAAAATCTCCAATGGGTGACTCACCACTGCAATATTTTTCACATCTCTCCCTTCCCCTAGGGACCATGGAGGACACGATAGACATTTAATAACAAAGAGTTGCCTGGTGGTGTTCTAGATCCAACTCACAGTCTTACTGTTTACCAAGCATACATGTTTCTCTAGTTATAGAATGCCTTTGTCTTTGCCCTCATTTGGGAGCTTGCCAGGAGGACATATGACACAGGAGAATGTTCTCTATTCTGGACATATTTTCTGGTAACCACTAAGAGATGACATAAGTGGGCCTGAATAAAGAGATGTAGCTAAAGTGGATGGTGCATTTTTCTAATTACACAACTCCATAGCAGGTATTCCCAATGTAGACAAGAGTACTGGAAACTTCTTCTCCAAACCTACCATATTTTAGATCCATAAACAAACAAAAATGCAACCACTGCCATGGAGTCAGATCCAACTCATAGCAAACTCTCCTTGCATTTCTGAGGCAGTATCACTATGGAAGTAGATGCCCAACCTCCCTACTGGGGAGTGGCTGGTGGTTTGAACCACCAGCCTTCTGGTTAGCAGTCAAATGTCTTAGGCACTATGCCACCAGAGCTCCCTTTAGATCCATATGCCCAGCCAAAGGCAAATGTTGACAGTAAGAGCTCTTCCCAGCCATAAGTGGTTTTGAAAATAACTTTTAAAACAAAAAGATTGTACATTATTTGGGAAGCGAAATGAAGTAATAACAAAAGATTCAAGGCAAGCATCATATGTAAGGTTTCCTTTACCCCCAACTTAGCCCATGACCAGGTCCATACCATTGTGAATAGGCAGTCCACAGACAGGGTCAGAACTTCTTGGCTTCAGGATCATACAGGTGCTCTTTAGCTGTTCAGGGCCAATGGAGGGGCTGCAGATAAAGGCAACAAGATAAGATAAGATGTCCATATAAGGCAACCTCTTGGACTTCCAAATGTGGACCTTGGCCTAAGGAAGGCAACCTCAGAAGACAGCCCCCATAAAAGCCAATTTCTTTATCAGGAGTGTACTGAGCTTCTCCAGAATAGACCATATGTTAGGACATAAAACAAGCCTCAATAAATTCAAAAGCATTGAAATACTACAAAGTATCTTCTCATACCACAATACTATAAAATTAGAAATTAATCATAGGAAGGGCAAGGAAAAAACATCAAACATATGAAAGCTGAACAATTCACTGCTGAAAAACTACCAAGTAATAGAACAAATAAAAACTGAAATAAAAAAATTCCTAGAAACAAATGAGAATGAAGATACATCATACAAAAACTTACAAGACACAGTGAAAGCAGTACTCAGAGGACAGTTTATAGCAATAAATGCATACATCAAAAAAGAGGAAAAAAACAAAATCAACACTCTAACTCATCAACTCCAAAAATTAGAAATAGAACAACAAAAGAATCCTACAGCATCTAGAAGCAAGGAAATAACAAAGATCAGAACAGAAATAAATGAAACAGAAAACAAAAGAAAAAAATAGAGAAAATCAACAAAACAAAAAGCTGATTCTTCTAAAAGATTAAAAAAATCAATAAACCACTGGCAGATCTAATAAAAAAAAAAAGAAAGAAAGATAAAATCTTAATCACAAGAATTGTAAACAAAAAGGGTGTCATCACAATAGAACCAACTGAAATAAAAAAGTTACTGACAGAATATTATGAAAAACTATACTCCAATAGATTTGAGAACCTAGAGGAGATGGACAAGTTTCTAGAATCACAAGTCCTACCTAAACTATCCCACTCAGAGAGAGAATACTTGAACAGACCTATAACAAAAGAAGATATTGCACAGGTCATAAAAAACTTCCCACAAAGAAAAGTCCTGGCCCTGATGGCTTCATTGGAGACTTTTATCAAATATTCAGAGAAGATTTGTCACTTACACTACTCAAGCTATTCTAGAACATAGAAAAAGATGGAATACTCTCAAACTCATTTTATGAAGTAAGCATAACACTAATACCAAAACCAGGGAAAGAAACCACCAGAAAGAAAAACTACACATCAATATCCCTTATGAATAAACATGCGAAAACCTTTAACAACATCCTAGTCAACAGAATCCAACAACATATCAAAAAATTAATGCACCCAGACCAAATGGTATTCATACCAGGTTTACAAGGGTGGTTCAACATCAAAAAAACAATCAATGTAATCTACCACGTAAACAAAAGAACCATATGATTATATCAATCGATGCAGAAAGGCATTTGATAAAATGCAACATCCATTCCTGTTCAGAACTCTCAGAAAAATAGGGATAGAAGGGAAATTCCTCAACATAACAAAGAGCATATATGCAAAGCCAACGGCCAACATTGTTATTAATGGAGAAAGACTCAAGACATTCCCCTTACAAACGGGAACCAGACAGGGATGCCCTCTATCACCACTTCTATTTAACATTGTATTGGAAGTCCTGGCCAGCGCACTAAGGCAAGAGAGAGAAATAAAAGGCATACAAATTGGCAAAGAGGAAATAAAACCATCTCTATTTGCAGATGATATGATCCTGTACATAGAAAACCCAAGAGATTCAATAAAAAAACTACTGGAACTAATAGAGAGGTTCAGCAAAGTGGCAGGATACAAGATCAACATACAAAAATCAGTTGGATTCCTCTACACCAACAAAGAGTTCTCTGATAAAGAAATAAGGGAAACAATACCATTTACAATAGCTACTAAAAAGATAAAATATCTGGGAATAAACCTCACCAGAGACACAAAAGACCTATTCAAAGAAAATTATAAAACACTGCTACAAGAGACAAAGGGAGCTCTGGTAGCATAGTGCCTGAGGCATTTGACTGCTAGCCAGAAAGCTGCCGGTTCAAACACACTAGGCACTCCTCGGAAGGAAGGTTGGGCTATCTACTTCTGTAGTGATACTGCCTCAGAAACCCAAGGAGGGGTCGCTATGAGTCAGGTCTGACTAGATGGCACGTTACAACAACAACAAAACAAGAAACAAGGGCACTACATAAATGGAAGAACCTACCTTGTCCATGGATCAGTAGACTGAATACTGTGAAAATGTCAATACTATCTAAAGCAATCTACACAGTTAACACAATCCCAATGCAGATTCCAACAAAATTTTTTACGACATGGGAAAACCAATTACTAATTTCATATGGAAAGGAAAGAGACCTCGAATAAGCAGAGTACTTCTGAAGAAGAAAAACAAAGTGGGAAGTCTCACACTCCCAGATCTTAAGAACTACTATACAGCCACAGTAGTCAAAACAACATGGTATTGGTACAATGATAAACAGATAAACCAATAGAACAGAATCAAAAGTTCAAATATAGACCCATCCATCTATAGATAACTGATCTTTGACAAAGGTCCAAAACCCATTAAATGAGGAAAAAAACAGCCTCTTTAACAAGTGGTGCTGACAAAACTGGATATCCACCTGCAGAAAAATGAAACAAGACCTATACATCACCCCCAAACACAAAAACAAACTCAAGCTGGATCAAAAACTTAAATGTAAAACCCAAAACTATAAAATTCATCAAAGATAAAATAGGGGCAAATCTGGGAGCTCTGATTTATGGCATAAATAGACTGTCAAGCATAACCCAGAATGTGTAGGAGGTAGAGGAGAAGCTAGATGACTGGAACCTTTTAAAAATTAAATTCTTATGAGCATTGAAAGACTTCATCAAAAGAGTAAAAAGAGAACCTACAGATTGGCAGAAAACATTTGCCTATGACATATCTGATAAAGGACTTATCTCCAAAATCTATAGAAAACTTCAACATCTCAACACCAAAAAGACAAATAGCCCAATTCACAAATGGGCAAAAGACTTGAACAGA